CACGATCAGCACGATGGCGCCCACCACGCGATACGCGGACAGCAAGGACACGCCGACTGTGAAGATGCGTTCGGGTGGAACCTCGTGAGGCAGGGGGAAGAGATGAACAGAAAAAGGGGGAGGAATTGGCGGCGAGCGAAGGGGGAAATGAAAAGGAGAAGGTCTTCTCAGAAGGCTCGGAAGTTCCCCCGCGGCCTTCTGAGAAATGTTATAAGCATCCCCCGAAGACGCAAACAACAACTTCTCAGAAGGCGCGGGGGTTTCTGAGAAGTCCCGCCTCTTTCTGACAAGGGCCTTCCTTGTTCTTTTCACTTCCCCCTCTCGCTCGCCGCCGAAAGCAGGAGTAAGATTGACACTGCCCTATGTTGGGGCAGCGTTTGAATGTCAGCGGCTGCGGGGTCCCTGTGAATGGTTCCCGTAACCCCAGGAAGCATTTAAGAACCCCCCCGGCGATATCTTAGCACCGCATTTTTATTTGATATTCCGAGGGGCCGAAATAACCGCACGATAGGTTTAGCACCCGGACACACAACAAATTCGCGGAGGCCTGGCCCCTCGTCTCCTCCTCCTCCTCCTCAGGAGAAGGCCCAGAGGGGAACCCCCAGGTGACTTGGGCCCTGACAGGCCTTGGGCCCCGAGGGAAGGAGGGGGGCGCGGGAGGAGGAGGAGGAGGAGGAGGAGGAGGAGGAGGTAGGAGGAGGAGGAGGAGGAGGAGGAGGAGGAGGGGAGGAGGAGGAGGAGGAGGAGGGGGAGGAGGAGGAGGGGAGGAGGAGGAGGAGGAGGGAGGAGGAGGAGGAGGAGGAGGAGGGAGGAGGAGGAGGGCTCCTGGTGCCAGGTAGCGCTTCCAGGGTGCGGAAGGGTTATCGATCTGCCGGAAGGGGGGGGGGTCTTAAATGCTTCCTGGGGTTAATCCGCCACCGCGCGCCCCGGCACTAAGGGCTCGACCGCAAGAAGCACCCCCCAAGAAACCCAACCCTGATATCCCAGGACGAACATTCATTTTTGGTGTGGGAACGTCACGCTTTCCATCGCAAAACCATCGAAACCCAGGAAACCCAGGGAACCCTGGAGGCAAGCACGGGGTTTCTTGGCATGGGTTTTCCACTGTAAACCATCCAGTTGCTGTCTGGTGGGGTTTCCGAGGGCTCCTAACGTCGCGACAACTTCGTGCTCTCACGCCGCTCCCCCAAGGAGAAAAAGAGGACGATGAGGAATCGGAACCGAACTGCGAAGCGCGAAAAACTTCGCGCCCTCGAGGGCGCCCTTGGGTTTCTGTGAGTCTACGGAACCCCTCCCCCTCTCCTCACATTCCCTTGCGTGCATCGGCCCTTCCTTTCCTAGAGGGCAGAGCATCCACCCCCATAGCACGCACTCCGACAAATAAAACCATTCAGTGTGTTTCCCCCCCAAAACGCCGCCGGCTTTCAGCGCAGGCCTGTGCTTCCGCTGGGTCGCGCTGGAGCCCTTTCTCAGCCTCCCGAAGGGCATCCTGGCAGATTGCCACTTACGCCACCAGCGGAACAAATCTGAATCACCCAAATCCCCCGGAGCACCTTGGACGGATGAGGGGATACGCGGGGCCGCGCCCGCGCCGCCTCTCGACGCCTGGGCAACGTTCGCAGGCTCGCACCGTCTGAAAAAAACTGGCCTCGAGCCCGGAGGAGCACGGGAGGCGCAAGTGGGGTCGGGCCGCGCTCCTTGGCGCGCCTTCGCTGCTCCTTCAGCGCAGCCTCGCAGCGCAGAAGCAGTGGTGGTGTCCTGCGCAGCCTGAATGGCGGCGGCGTCGCGCCTCTTAGGGCCCTCGAGTAAGGCCGCCTCCTGCCGTCGGTCCGTGGGATAACGTCCCGAGAACAGCTCGTTGGAATTGTCCGTTTTGCCCCCTCACTCGGGGGGGAACCTGGCATTGCGAGGGCAGTTTCTTCGCCGCATGCTGTGTCTAGAGCCCGTACCTCGCGCAGAAGAACAGGAGCGTCCTTGGTGTGCGTCACAACCGCGGCACGCGACTGCAAAATGCGCTCGAGACCGAACCGGAACGCGGAACAGAGAGGCTGGCGGGCTTCGCGCCCGCGAGCAACTACCTCCGCGCATGTGCGAGCGAATGTGAAAATGATGCGCGACGATGCTTGGCCACTCCGCCGAGCAGCTCCTGCTGATGGACCACGAAACAAATTAATGCAAGTGGCTGGCGGATTTGCCAACTCATGCGAAACATAGGAAGACGGGGAAGCAGGCGGGCTCGGGGCACACCCGGCATCGCCTACAGAGCAAGGGAAGAGGCAGTCGCCTGTGGCGTGGAAAATACCCCAACGGCCCTCCGCCAGAAGCCCTGCAACTGGCGGCCGCGGGGACGCCAGCTCCATCGAACACCCTCAGCCTCTGGAGCTGAGGACGCCCTTGCCCTTGCCGACGATGCGCGAATTGCACTCGTCGTAGGCGTCGTAATTATTACTCTTGCCCGCGCCCTAGATCTCCGACGCGGCGCGGTTAATCTTGGCATCCGTCGGGGCCTGCGCGTTCGCGACGCGCTGAACGTTGACGGTCCAGTCGCACTCGGTAGACTCGCGCACGCAGGAAGAGTCTGCCATGCACGCGGAGACCGCGACCTTCTTCGCCCTGTCGACCTGCAACTCATTCACGAGTCGGCTTGTCGACCTGCAACTCATTCGTGCATTCCGAGGGTGGCGCGAACTCCGCCTTCTGGACCTTCCGCATCAGCTCCTCCACCTGCTCGGACTTGGAACCTTTCTTGGCGGCACCCTTGTGGAACCAAGTGGTCTCCAGGATCACCGCGTCCTTGTTGACGAACTCGCGCTGGCGCATCTCGGTCTTATTATCGAAGTGGCCGTTGTTGCCAACGATGGCGGTGTCATGTGCGCAACGGGCTCGACGTCGCCGCCCCCTCTGCTGCCGCTTGGCCCCCTCCCCGCACTGGGGCATCGCCTCTGCGCCCAAGCCGAAAAAGGCCATGCACAGCGACGTTCTGGAACGCCGTCGTCCCGCCGTCGAGCTCGATCGGCACGTCACGGACCGCCGCCTCGACCTTGGCTCGCAGGACCGGCTTGATGGGCTCGACCCGCGCCTGGATCTCGTGATCGACCTGCAGGTTGCCGCCACCAGCCTCGGCCGCTCGCCGGGGGGGCACCGCCGTGGCCGCCACCACCTGGCGAGAGCCGACAGCGCGCACAACAGCACCGAGGAGAGCCTCCGCCATCGCGTCGAGCGAGCAAGGAGCTCGAGTCAAAATGGCTACGGACTAAGCCATTTAGTAAACGCGTCCAGGGTAGGAATCGAACAGGTACACGTTTTCTTATTCGGGGCTTCGACGTTGGACGAAAAGGAGGGGGGGTCTGGTTCTGGACCTCTGTTTTGTGCGACTGTTTGCAACAGTGTCCTATGGGGGAGACCCCACCTGCTCGAAACAGGCGCCCAAAACAGCCAAGATCTACTCCATGGGGCGGGAGGGGGAGTGGGCCCGCGCCGATCGGCAAAACAATGAAGAAGAAAACGATCACCAAGGCAAGGCTGTTTAATGAACGCCCGGGGCCGTTTCGTAAACGCCAATTGTCGGATCTGGGTGTCTTTCCCTCCCTTGACTATGGGCGGCCGACGCCGCCTCGGGGCTCTCCAAGGCACTCCGAGGCTTCCAAGGCGGCCCGTGCGGGCGACCAAGATGGCCTCAGCACTGCCACAAGACGCACCCAAGAGCCCCCGGGGCGCCAAGCATGCCCCACGACGCGCCCATGAGGTCTTCTCAGAACGCTCGGAACTTCCCCGGCGGCCTTCTGAGAAATGTTATTAGCATTCCCCGAAGACGCACAACTTCCCAGAACACTCTGCAGGAGGCGCCAAACATGCCCCACGACACGCCCAAAACACTCTGCAGGAGGCCGTCGCGAGGCAACAGAAACACTGACTCATTCTCTTCGAGAAGGTCTTCTTTTCCACGCTGCTCGGTCGAAGATCGGCCCTCCTGCGGTCGGTCCCCGGGGGCCGGAAAGACCCCATTGAGAGCCCCAAGAAGGCTCCCAGTCTGCCCCAAGAGGGCCCCGAACTGGCCTCTGCAGGGGACCAACCTGGCAAAGAGAGCCGCCAGACGGCCCAGTGCTGCCCAAAGACGGCCCCAAAAGATCCCTAGACGGTCAAGGGAGCTCCACGAGGGCCCAGTAGGGTCGCAAACTCCCAAGCGGGCCCCAAAACGCCTCCAAGACTGCCCCGCAGGAGCCCAAGACAGTCCGAAGACCGCCCAGATAGGCCCCATGAGAGCTCCTCAAAAACAGGAGGCGAGATGCGTAGAGTGTGAGAGCCGTCTGAGCGGTGCTCGAAGGGTCGCCACACGTAATGTTTCGCTGGTGCGGTGGTGGAGTTGCCGCAAGCAACTGGAATGGTGCCTCATTGCGAAGATTCGTGTGGATGGACCTCTGAGAAAGACAATGGTGCGGAACGGAACTCCTGCAGGGAACCCAATTGAAGCCCGCGGCGAACAGACTAGAATAGTTCGAGGGACCGAGAAGAAACGAAACACCACCTTCGAGTGAATAGATTCTAAAATAATTTGAAAAACCCTGAATGATAACCAACTTGCAACAACGATTCTGCGGGAGAGCCCTGGGAAACATACCGGTACATACACAGAGTACCTTTCTGGTGGGCGAAGCGACGGAAGTGTGACTGGCATGGAGCCGAAAGAAAAGATTAACGATGCGGCATGCCTCTGCGTAGATTGATGGGAATGCTGCCAACCTCAAGGCGAGGCCAAACAATTCTCTGCGAAACACGCGTAGCCGCGGTGACGAACAAACTCTCCCTCAGGGATGATCCGTGCCGCAATGAACAATCTGCACGCGTGTACATGGATTTCCGTAAGATAGGCAATGGTCTGAACTGACGAAGTGCTGGCAACCATCAAGCTCAATCTCGCTGCATCTTGGCGTCTCCCCTGTGTCACAAAGATCCGCAGCTTCAGTGACTCCCATCCCACATGCACATTCTTGACAAGCTTCTCACCTTGTAAACCACCACGATGCGAAGCTACAGAGGAAGGACTCAGCGATCTGCATTCCTCTGGGTAGCGAGAGCAACACAAAAGGAAGAAAGGCACGTTCAAGATACGGCAAACCGCCAAGCCCAACAACATAACAATGCTGCCAGTCAAGAGCACGAGGGCTACCCTCCAGGTGAGGTAGGCCAGGCTCGCCTGTAAATGCGGCGGCTCCGCACACATAAATGATAAGCGAATGCGAACAAAGTCGAACGTGCATCTGCGCGCACCTGGAAACGCTGATACTCGCGTGCTGTCTGGGACATGGCTGCACGTCGAACACAACATATGACTGGCCACATCCTACACCGATGCGCTGCTTTTCGCATGCTTGACTGGAATTCTCCCTCACAATCGCTGCATATCTGCGGTCGGAGGGAGGGAGAAGATATTGCGGGGGGTCATTTCACTTTGAAGCGGCGCTCGGGGGGGTAGGAGCTCGGCTGCGGCGCACTGTTCGGGCCTCTCATCCTAGTGGCGAAGAGTGGCCTAGCGTTGAGCTGGCTGGCCTCCATAGCAAGGTGTGCATAATGTGTTATAACTTTGGTTGGTTCGATTCCCCCACATAGCTGATTCTCGTATGAGTTTTTGCCAATGGGAGCTGCGTTCTTTGTTCTTTGTACTTGTGTTTTGTATCCTCGGACTGCCCTATATGAGGTGTTGTTGCATCGCTGTGGTGGGAATATTTGGTCGTGAGACAATGCGCAGGGCTGCTTTCTACTTTAACTCATTATTACTCCCACGCTCGCGTTCCGTCTTCACGAATGGAAATTCAAGAATATGGCATACGGTGAATCCCTTTCCTCAATCAAGCGCAAGTGTCCTGTTCGCTCTTCTGTAGCGGAGCGGTGGTCGACTGGAATCCTTGCCTTATTTGTTGCAGAAGTGTTGCTGGTGATGTTGATCGCACTCTGGCTCAACTTTGCCATCGCGCATCCTACGATCGGCAAAGAACATGTTGCCCGTGATGTCTTACTTCCGCGTGCGGCCCCGCCAACAAAACCCCGCGGTGCTCGCCCTCGTGCCCAGCCTGGAGCTCAACGGAAGTGTGCACTGATACCACTCCTGGATATCCTTCATCCTTCCGCTTCCCGCCTGGTCGAGGGTTGTCAACAGTGCTCCATGCCCAAAGTGTCCCAGCATATTCGCGTCATTGTGGGCCCCCTCAGGCCCTCGGAGCCTCGCGAGAACTGCTCTGGAAATCGTGAGGCCTCCTTGGAGTTCGGTGCTAAACGGTGTCGCCTGGCAACACGCCGGTGCCCAACATAATTATTCAAAACTGGTGACAAACATGGTATCGGTCTGTAGTTTCTTACTTGCTTTCCCCAATTGGTCTGAGCGAGTCTATGTGTGACTGGTCTGAATATGAGTGTGAGTCAGTCTGAATATGTCTGAGTGTAAGTCACAATGCGAGCGAGTATGGACGATTCTGAATGTAAGTCTGACCTCTGTGAGTCTCTCCACATACGTACGTCTGGGCATGAGTGTGTCTGCGAGTGCATGAACCTGAATAACAGCTAAGTGGGTCTGGGCATGGGAAGGGGAGGACAGGAGTGAGGGTGAGGGTGAAGCGGGGGCGCGTCATTGACAACACGAACCCCGCACCGAGGTTCTGGCCCCGATGTCTGGGTTATGGGAGATGCGGCCTGGAATCGGCGATGCCTCGCCGATAGGCCCGCGACAGGCCCTGCAGGCAACACCACACCTTCCTGGGCAGGGAGGGGCGCCCGAGCCCCGACTGGCGGCACATGGGCGAGCAGAAGACGACGCGTCCGCCTCTGAGCCGATCGCCCCCCCCACTCGGCGCCCCCTTGCCCCATTTGCCTCACGTCGCGGGGGGCGACAGAAGGGTGAGGACGGGGGACCGCACTGACGATCTTGGCGGTGGTCCCTTGGCGTCGTCAACACTACGGCTTTTGGAAGGCTCCATGGCAGCCCCCGCGTGCAGCACTGACCCACACTTGCTTGAACAAACTGTCTGCGAACCATCAAGTGTGAGCCACAGAGTAGGTTTCTGTGAAGGCAGCGAGCGAAGCGACGGTGACAGGAAAGGCTCAACCAATTGTGATCGCAGACTTGACTCCCAACCTCGCCGTACGGGCAGGGCGGTGACCAACGAAACCTCCTCCAAAGCCGCCCTTATCCAACACCAACTGATCTACTCCCAGAAAAAATGCCATGCCGGAACATACGTAAACCCGAACGGAACCAACTCAATATGGTAACCCAGCCGTTTTCGCTGCCCTACGTACAGGGCAGGTTTTAATCTTTGTAATATTCCATGTGGGTACCCCAAGTGACGGCGCGTCGCAGCCACCACCCTGTAAGGAGGCAGGTCGGCGTGTGAGTGTGGGCTTCAAGGTCCCGCCCCCTGCGGAACTCACCCTCTTCTTCGTCGGCCCCTCTGCCCGCTTCGCGCCCCGCTCCCTTTCTGACCTCCCTCCGCCTCTCTCGTTCTATCTCCCCCTCTCTGTCGCACTCTCAGCCTGGGGATTAAAACATGGGCGCCCGCGGTTCCGTTGAAGTCTTCGGAAGGCTTGGTTCCCACCCCACTGGTTGTGCAGTGGGGGGGAGGGGGGGCAAAAAACAGAGACGAGCAATAAATGTCCCCCCCTTCTCCACCCCAAAAAACAACCAATCGACCACCACAATCGCTCGCCTCCGAGCACCCCCAAAATACCGACACGTGGTACTAGTACTGCCGAAATCGTGGTATTTGCGGTAGCGGCAGCAGCAGTACAAGTAGTACTAGTAGTAATAGTAGTAGCAGTAGTGATAGTACTAGCAGTACTAGTAGTAGGAATAGTAGTAGTAGTAGTAGTAGTAGAAGAAGAAGAAATAGTAGTAGTAGTAGTAGTAGTAGTAGTAGTGATAGTAGTGGTAGAAGTAGTAGTAGTAGTAGCAGTAGTAGTAAAACAAGTAGTAGTAGTCGTAGTCGTAGTTGCAGTAGTATTAGTAGTATTAGTAATAGTAGTAGTAGTAGTAGTAGTAGTAGTAGTCGTAGTAGTAGTAGTAGTAGTAGTAGTAGTAGTAGTAATTGTAGTAGTAGTAGTAGTAGGAGTAGCAGTCGTAATAGTAGTAGCAGTAATAGTAGTAGTAGTAGTAGTAGTAGTAGTAGTAGTCGTAGTAGTAGCACTAGAAGTAGTAGTAGTAGTAGTAGTAGTAGCAATCATACAACATGAAAATAACCCAACACATACAAATTTCAGTGGTAGATGTAGTAGTCGCACCGTGGCCGTGGACGCAGTACCATTGGTATTAATAATAATAATAGTAGTAGTAGTCGTGATTGTGGAAGAAAGGTCGTAGCAGTCGTAGTCGAAGTCGTAGTAGTATCGGTAATTGAAATATAGGTAGAAGTGATATTAGCAACAACTAGTAGTAGTATTGCAAAAGTGGTAATAGGAGCACACGTGGCAAAATAATCGTATTCATGGTCGTAGCAATAGTTGTGGTAGTCGTAGTCCTAGCAGTCGTAGCCGTAGTAACAACCATCACAACACATGGCGCCGTAATTGTCGTAGTAGTTGTCGTAGTAGTAGTCGTTGTAGCAACAGAAGTAGCAATAAGCATCGTCGTCGTAGTGGTGGTCGTAGTACCTGTACTCGTAGTAATAGTAGACGAACTCGACGTAGTAGTAGTAGTAGTAGTAGTAGTAGTAACAATGGTTGTAGTAGTGGGTGTAGCTGTAATCGTAATAGTAGTGGGGGCGTACTGCTTGTAATCGAAGTCGCAATCGTAATATCGTATTGAATTGCTCCTGCACTCTAGGAGTACAGGGGTACTTTAAGGCAGGTCTAAGCACACTGTAGTAGCACCCTATGGTAGCATTTCTGTAACAATACTGTAGTAGCACTTCGGCCCGTATAGTGAAATCATGTAACTCAGATTCTGCCTGTCGAAGAAACCGTGTACCCTTGTCGTAATCGTACTCCACTACTGTTCTCCTTGCCCTCCTATCAAAGCAGCCGTGATCTAATACTACAGTCCTGTATCAGTCTTTGTAACAATACTACCACACCACTGTCATAGTAGTCAACGCCGCCGTCGCAATACCACTCGAAAGCGGACTGCCGCAGCATTGGATGTAGCAGTGGTGGTAGTAGTAGTAGTAGTAGTAGTAGTAGTAGTAGTAGTGGGTAGTAGTAGTAGTAGTAGTAGTAGTAATAGTAGTAGTAGTAGTAGTAGTAGGAGTAGTAGTAGTAGTAGTAGTACGAAGTAGTAGTAGTAGTAGTAGTAGTAGTAGTAGTACGAAGTAGTAGTAGTAGTAGTAGTAGTAGTAGTAGTAGTAGTAGTAGTAGTAGTAGTAGTAGTAGTAGTAGTAGTAGTAGTAGTAGTAGTAGTAGTAGTCGTAGTAGTAGTAGTAGTAGTAGTATAGTAGTAGTGGTAGGTAGTAGTAGTAGTAGTAGTAGTAGTAGTAGTAGTAGTAGTAGTAGTAGTAGTAGTAGTAGTGGTAGTAGTAGTGGCAGTAGTACTAGTAGTAGTAGTAGTAGTAGTAGTAGTAGTAGTAGTAGTAGTAGTAGTGGTAGTAGTAATAATATTAGTAGTAGTAGTAGTAGTAGTAGTAGTAATAAGAATAGTAGTAGTAGTAGTATAAGTAAAAGTCGTGTTATTAGTAGTAGAAGTAGTAGTAGTGGTAGTAGTAGTAGTCGTCGTAGTAACAGTAAGTGTAGCCATACTAGTAATAGCAATAGCCGTCGTAGTCGTAGTAGTAGTCGTAGTAGTAGTAGTAGTCGTCGTCGTCGTAGTAATAGTAGTCGTAGTAGTAGTAGTAGTAGTAGTAGTAGTAGTAATCGCAGTAGAAGTAGTAATAGTAGTAGAAGAAGAAGAAGTAGTAGTAGTAGTAGTAGTCGTAGTCGTGGTAGTAGTGTTAGTAGTGGTAGTAGTGGTGGTAGTAGTAGTAGTAGTAGTAGTAGTAGTAGTAGCAGTAGTCTTAGTAATAGTAGTAGTAGTAGTAGTAGTAGTAGTAGTCGTAGTAGTAGTCGTAGTCGTAGTAGTAGTAGTAGTAGTAGTAGTAGTAGTAGTAGTAGTAGTAGTAGTAGAAAGAAAATGGTAGACGTAACTGTGAATACCGCCATTGTGGATATAATCTTCGCCCGCGCTCCCTATGGGGCCACGAACCGTGTGAGGGGTGTGCCAAAATGGGCCTGCGGTGGGCGGGGAGGACGCATGCGAACTGTGCCACTGGGGCCTTCGGTGGAGCTCCCTATGGGGCCACGAACCGTGCGAAGGGTGTGCCAAAATGGGCCGGCCGGCGGTGGGCGGGGAGGACGCATGCGAACTGTGCCACTGGGGCCTTCGGTGGAGCTCCCTATGGGGCCACGAACCGTGTGAGGGGTGTGCCAAAATGGGCCTGCGGTGGGCGGGGAGGACGCATGCGAACTGTGCCACTGAAGCCTCCGGTGGAGCTCCCTACGGGGCCACGAACCGTGTGAGGGGTGCGCCGAAAACGAGACCAGCGGTGGGCGAGGAGGACGCATGCGAACTCTGCACTGGGGCCTTCGGTGGAGCTCCCAATGGGCCACGAACACTGAGGGGTGTGCCAAAATGAACATGCGGTGGGCGGGAGGACGCATGCGAACGGCCACTGGGGCCTTCGGTGGAGCTCCCTATGGGGCCACGAACCGTGTGAGGGGTGTGCCAAAATGGGCCTCCGGTGGGCGGGGAGGACGCATGCGAACTGTGCCACTGGGGCCTTCGGTGGAGCTCCCTATAGGGCCACGAACCGTGTCAGGGGTGTGCCAAAATGGGCCTGCGGTGGGCGGGGAGGACGCATGCGAACTGTGCCACAGGGGCCTTCGGTGGCAGCGGGGAGGACGCATGGGAACTGTGCCACTGGGGCCTTCGGTGGAGCTCCCTATGGGGCCACGAACCGTGTGAGGGGTGTGCCAAAATGGGCCTCCGGTGGGCGGGGAGGACGCATGCGAACTGTGCCACTGGGGCCTTCGGTGGAGCTCCCTATGGGGCCACGAACCGTGTGAGGGGTGTGACGACATGGGCGGTGGGGACGATGATGATGACGATGATGACGATGATGATGACGATGACGATGACGATGACGATGACGATGACGATGATGATGATGATGATGATGATGATGATGATGATGATGATGATGATGATGATGATGATGGTGATGGGGATGGGGAAGAGGGACAATAATCCTGATCCCGGCCCGTAACATCCAAGTCAATGTGAAGCTGCATTGGCGAACAGAGACCTCGCGTCATACCTGCGGAACAACCAAATGTCACATGTTCTAGGTCACAACGTTGAAAACAACTGCGTACCATGCTCGATTGGCTGTTCCACACGTGCGCGGACAGAGCCATGTTCCGACGCTCCACGTAGCGCTGCCCTCAAAATAAAAGTACGGCGCTTTCTTGAGTAGTGCCTCCGCACTGCCACGGAAGCATCGGTTGACTTGCAAGCACCTTTCGGACGACGGCGGCGTTCTGCGCAACCTGCTCGGGATCCACGCTGCGCATGGGACCCGATGACGCGTTCCAGCCCGCCTCCAATACCTGCCAGCCTCGCATCACTCGTGCAGCTGGTCGCCGCTTCCAAGTACACACCGTGCCATCGCTTCGACGCTCCCTAAGCTCCTCGTGCTCTACACACTCGGTGGCCTTTGGATGCGAGTGCCAAGCGCCAAGCGCTTGTTGTCCGCCAAAGACTACTGGCAACATACCGGTGTAAGTGGCGGAATACTGCAAGCTAGACGTCGTGCAATTGTAGTGGCAATCTCGGTCACGGAAGGAGTGGCAAGCCGACCCGTCAGTCTGACGGCAATATTTGTCGACGTTCAGTCCACCGTCCCAACGATCTATCGAATTGTCACACTCGCACTGCGGGTCGGTTGCATTTTCGTTGTCGTTGCAGGACGCATAATCCGCGAATGAATCGTTTCCACCTGTGGTGATAGTGTCGGGAATCCGTGTCGACGCAATGTCCACACAAAACAACTTGTACGTTGCGTTCTGCATAGTGACGTTCAGCCAGCCCTGGTACGTGGAGAAAGTGAGAAACGACACATCTCCCAACAGGCTCCCAGAGTTGTGGTTCATTAGGTAATCAACGTCGTACGTGAACTCCGACTCGCGCATGACCTCGAGCCATGGTTCCAAGTGCCGTCCGCCTCGTTGAAACCACGGGCGCGGGAACGGCACTGGTGCGACATTCCCTGGCGGCGCCGGGACTGCTCCAAGTGCCAGGGCCGAGACTTGGAGTGCCTCGCGCGTGCGCGCGCACTCGGACCCAGTAGGTCGTGCTTGGCGACAGGGAGTCGATGTCTGCCGACAAGGCTGCAGTGGAAAAGATCCCGAAAGCTTGGCCCTCTGAAGTGCTGGACAGCAGGATCTCGTAGTAATCAGACGGTGTACCTGCGGGTGCCTGCCATTTCACCTGCAGGCACCGACACAGATGGACAGGCCAACCAACATGAGCGTGATGGGGTACCGACCAGTTGCAGCCATCAGCGAGCTCGACATCATGTCTGGGAGCCAGAATACATTACCAAGGGCGATGAAGCCCTTGCTCATTATTGCATGCGCTCGAGCTGGCTCCTGAGCCTGGAGCCAAGCTTGAGCCAAAATGGCTACGGATGATGGGAGGGGAGGAAGGGGGAGGAGGAGAGGAGGTGGGACGCGGGGCGCTGCCTCTTCAAAACGAGGACTCAACACAACAGGATGGTTGGGAAGAAGACGTAGCCAAAGCAGTCGTAGTCGCAATAGTAGTAAGAGTATTAACCCTCGTAGCCGTAGTAATAGTCTTAATAATAGCACGGGTACGGTCGTAGGGTCGGTAGTACCAGTAGTAGTACTAGTAGCACTAGTAGTAGCAATCGAAAGAACAAAAGTCGCAGTCGTAATATAATCGTAGAAGTCGTAGTAGTAGCTGTCGCAATGCGAGGTCGTATTGTTGTTAAATACGAATACTGCTGCTCTAGAGGTGTTGTGTCCTGGTATTGTAGCGGTACCCCAACACTGCAGTGCGGTCGTAGCAGTGCGGTCGTAGTGATACTGTAGTAGGGTAAGGCAATACAATGTCGATGCCGTGGTCGTAAATATACACCAGTAATGTAGCACTAGTCGTGCTCCAATACTTGCAGTAGTAGTTGCAATATGATGTAGAAGTAATGCCCTACTACTTAAGTAGTGTTACAATATTCGTGGTACGGTATTCGTAGATTACTTCCTATGGCTGGTTACAGCAGGCGTGTTGTAATGCTGTGGTGAAGGCGTTCCAGTAGCAGTACCAAAATACGGTAGTGCTGAAGCACGGTATCCGTACCACCGAATACTGGATTGCTAAAGTAATACGACTGTAAAGGTACTGCGCTGGTAATTCGGTAGTAGTACTGTAGGTGTACTAGAATCGTAAACGTGCGGTAGTAGCAATACGGTACAACTGAGTGTAGTAGTGCTGTCGTACTGTAGTCGTCGCAATAATGTAGTACCACTGCTGTCGTAATCTTGCCCTGGTGCACGGGTGATCGTACTAGTGCAGTGATTGCTGCAGGGGTAATACAACAGTGCTCTAGTATAGTCGTACTTTGATTGTGCTGTCAGACTCCAGTACGGGCCAGCTACTGTAGTGACACTGCTGTAGTGATACTACTGTATAGGGCGCTTGGGCCAGCCAGCAGCATGGGCCAGCCATGAGCACCTCGGATGGTGGCACCAACGCGAGCGGGCGGGCGCGCGGGCGGGGCTCGCCGCCGCGGCGCCCGCCACCACGCCCGCGACGATCGGGACCCAGACGCCTGGCGGAGGCTGGCTGGGGCGGCGCCGCAATTCCCAGAAGCGTTGCCAGAGGGTGGGGAAGAGGAGGAGGAGGAGGAGGAGGAGGAGGAGGAGGGGGAGGAGGAGGAGGAGGAGGAGGAGGAGGAGGAAGAGGAGGAGCAGGCGGAGGAGGAGGCGGAGGAGAAGGAAGACGAGGAAGAGGAGGCGGGGCCTCAGAAGGAGGAGGAAGGGGAGGAGCAGCAGCAGCAAGGGGCAG